AGCTCAGTGCAGAGGCCCTGAGTTCATAACCCAGTACAAGAAAATTAATAATAAAAGAAGAAACGCCAGCCTCATTCTAATTAGCCTCTCATCTGCAGAGTACTGCTGTACCATTCCAGTGCCTCCCGTTCTGTGGTTCTTTCTTCTGTCCCGGTCTACGGTCAACGCATATTTCTACTACGCATGCATGGGGTCAGGCACAGGGGGCTCTTGTCAGCTTTTTAGGTGTTCAGACATGGAGACCAGGGCTGAGAAACAGGAAAGCGCTCCTATGCTCTACATAAAGGTGAGGCAGAGCCGGGCGTGGTGGTGCACACCTATCCTCCCAGCACTCAGGAGGCTGAGGCAGGAGGATTGTGAGTTCAAGCCCAGCCTGGGCTACATACATCCTATTTTTAAAATAAATAAATAAAAGGTAGGTCAATTATTTTCCCTGAGCCCAGAATGGCCCAAGGACCCTCCATCTTCCTCACTTTGGTCTACCCTGTAGTGCCAGCCCCCCATGTGATGGAGGGGGCACAGGGTGGCCACAGACCCTCCCATGACAGCCTTTCTGCAAAGTCTCCACAACTGACCGCCGAATGTCCTGCCTTCCTTGAGCTCCTGATCCCACCTAGAAAACTGCTCTTGGAGCTCCCTTCCCAAGGGCCCCCTGCAGTCCCCATAAATGACTGCGGAAGTGACCTGCCCATTGGAGCCACAGACCAGGGTAGGGAGCAAGGGAACCCAGGATGCTTGCTCCCCAGTCTGTTTCCTACTACAGATGAGCTGGCATTTTATAGAAATCAGTGCTTGTGAAACACACACACAGAGCAGGAGAATTTACACACAAAGTAGCTTACACAGCCAGGCACAGTGGCATCTCCTGGAACCCTAGCTACTTGGGAGGCTGAGGCAGGAGGGCTGGAAGTTTGAGGCCAGTGTAGGCTACATAGCAGATCCTGTCTCAGAATAAAAAATAACAGCTTCGTGGTTAAGTGCCCCTGGGTTGATTCCTCAGTACTAGCAAAAAGAATAAAGTGAAGGAGGAGGAGGGAGAGGAAGAGAGAAGGAAGGGAGGGAGGGAGGGAAGAAGGGGAAGAAAGAAGGAAAGAAAGAAAGAAAAAGAGAGAGAGAAAGAAAGAAAGAAAGATAGATAGATAGATAGATAGATAGAAAGAAAGAAAGAAAGAAAGAAAGAAAGAAAGAAAGAAAGAAAGAAAGGAAGACAAGCTGACTTAAAGGGGAAATACAAATAAAAATCAATTACAAACTGGGCATGGTGGCGTACGCCTGTAATCCCAGTGCTCAGGAGGCTGAGGCAGGAGGATCATCGCAAGTTTGACACCAGCTTGGGCTACAAAATAAGCTCAAGGCCAGCCTAAACTACAGGGTGAGACCCTGTCTCAAAAAGACAAAAAAAAAAAATCAATTACAAATTATAAAAGTTCAATCTTTCTAGTAACCAAAGACATGCAAATTAACACAATCTTTGGTACTTTTTTAGACCTGTGAAATCATCAATGGTGTTTTTTTAATTCATGAAAACAATTTTGAAAAAAATCTAACACCAAGATTGTGGTAAAATACTGGTAAACATTATAACACTTTTCAGAAAGCAGCATGACAGCCAGGTGTGGTAGTGTGTGCCTGTAATCCCAGCACACGGGAGGCTGAGGCAGGACGATGGCTGTGAGTTCAAGGCCAGCCTCAGCTACAAAGTGAGTTCAAGGCCAGCCTGAACTGCACAGTGAGACCCTGTCTCAAAAAGACAAAAAATATATATATAAAAGAAAAAAGGGGGCTGGGGATATAGCTTAGTGGGAAGGTCTGAGTTCAATCCCCAGTGCCAAAAAGAAAAAGATATGAACGTCTGTCTCTCCCTCCCATCCTTCCCTCCAAAGGTCTGCCAAAGGCACCTTAAATGATGCACGCATCTCTTGCTGGGTCACTCCCATGCACAAAACTCCTGCAAAGAAAGGAACGATGTGCTGCAGATTGGTGCCTACTGCCTAGAGTAATGCTGGGGGCCTCACCCTGGGCTTCATCCACGGCAGAGGTAGGCAAGCGCTCTACCACTGAGCTGCACCTCAGCCCTTTTTATTTCCTTTAAGACAGGGTCTTGGTAAACTGCCCTGGTTTTAAACTTGAAATCTTCCTGCTTCAGCCTCCCAGAAATACTGGGATTATAAGCGTGAGCCACTAAGGCCAGCTGCATGCTTATTTTGTGCTAAGACTGTTCAGGACCCTCCCAGAATTCTCACGAAGAAGAGCCTATTTGGGGGCCCGTTCTTCCAGAGAGGGCGTGAAACCCTCTGCAGCCTGGCTGGGCCCAGTTCTTCCAAGCTACGATGGTGCCCTGCTGAGAACACGCTGCCAGCTCCGGGTTCATTCCTCCTCGGTCTCGATGCCAGCTTCTGTTTGTGGTCTCCCCTCCCCCAGCCATCTTCCCAGTCAAGCAGCCGTTTGTGTCGTTTTTTGTACCTCAATTCTAGAACTGATCTCATCGCAACATAACCGCCATGACTGGCTTGCTATCCAACTGCTCCAGGCAGCCGCGGGCGCGCACAGCCAGGAGGCCCGCGGGTACCCAGGACAGTACCCGGCCCTGGCTGCTTCGGGGACTCCGAAGAGCAGGCAGGAGAAAGAGCGCTGGCGTCTGTGAACCCCCTCCAGGTGTGAAAGTGCTTTGAAGGGGCCAAGGGGGAGTCCCTTGAACTCGCACCCGGGGCAAGGTGAGCGGAGGCCCCGTAAGGGACAGCAGGGCCCCAGCGCCCTCGGGGCCAGGGGCAGAACCCACGCCGCGCAGCCGCAGTGCAGCCAACTCCTTAGGGAAGAGAGAAGAGCGCAGATGCGGCAGGAACCCTCCCAAGGGAACGCAGGATACTGTGGCTAGAAGGATGCTGAGCAAGACACAAAGTCCCAACCTGGCTCAGGAAATTCAGGGGCTTCCCTACAGCTGGCAACCCCCGCCCCAAAATGCCCTCGGTGGACAAAGGGACCGTGCCGCAGGCAGCTCAGCGGGAGCCTGGGACTTTCTCCCCCTCCTGGGCACCGTTCTTGGCCCCCTTAGGCAGGGTGCTCAGGAGGGGCGGCTCTGGGTCACCTTTGGCCACAGCTGGGTCCCAGGCGGCAGATGACCCACCCGGCTGCCTGCGCTCGAGCCCCTGATGGAGCTGGGCATAGTTTGGGGTCCTCCAAAGGTCCGTGTGTTGGAAGCTGGGTCCCCAGCGTGGCGATTGGGAGCCATTGGGACTCAGGAGAGATCCAGAAGCAGCTCTCCGGGCTGGCAGAGATACCATCTGGGTCCTCATGACTTTGGCCCCTGGGCGGGAGCTGAGACATGGCTGCTCGGGGCTAGGGCCGGGCAGCCGGAAGTTCATTCTCTGGAGTCAGGGGCCGACATTAGGGCTCCCAGCTGCCCATCAATGCACGCTGATCCCTGGGTGCTGGCCCAGGTGCACTGGACGAGTCAGATCCCCCAGCAATGCGCACCCCAGCTGGATTCCCAGGAGCAGGCCGACCAGGTGCCCACCGCTGAGCCTGGAGAGAAACCCAGCCCAGGCACTGTGCGTCTCTCCACAGTGACAGGGAAGACCCCGCTTCCTAATAGTGCCATCCTCTAGGCACCCGCTGTGTGCCCAGCCCTTGTTCAGACATTTAGCCCCAGCCCCAAGATTTCAACTCAGGATCACTGTCCCCACTTTATGCATGAACAAACTGAGGCTCAGAGGCATTAAGTAACTTGCCAGAGATCATATGGTTTGAGAAGAGCAGGGCTGGAGTTCGTTTCCAGCCTCGCCTGGCTCTCAAGCCGCAACTGCCTTCCCTTCCTTCCTTAGTCCCCTGGCGCCCTGGCTTTCCTCAGGAGGAAGCACCGGGTCCCAGCACTGGGGCGGCACATGGGAGGAAAGCTGGCGTCGGTCCTTCCCCCGAGCCTCGGGGGATGCCTCGTGGGTGTCACCTCCCACAGACCAGCACTGGCCACGCTGCTGGTCAGCCGTCTCGGTGGGGACGCGTCCTCTGTCCTCTGGCTCTCGGCCACGTGACTTCCCTCACTCTGGCCTCAGCACCCCCTCTATAAATCCAGGGCTGGAGCAGTGTTGTGCTGGGTCCCGCTAGGGGGCGCCCCCGAGGCGGAGGAAGCAGGAGGCCTGGTCTCCATCTGCCACGTTACCCTGGGCTGCTTTGGCTCTGCCTGGACCCCTGAGGACCCAGCTTCTTCATCCCTATTACGGGAGAGTCGCTGTGAATGGCACAGCCAGGCTCTGGGCTCAGGCCGCCGTCCCCCAGGCCTTGCCTCGCGCTGGCTGAGCCTGGTAGCTGGGCTTCGCCCGGTCCCACGTTCATCCCTTCCACCTCCCAGAAAGACAGGAGAGGAAAAGAGACGTGACCCAGCCCCCAGCAGGGCCACCGTGAGCATGACCCGGGCTGAGCGTCCCCTAGGGGAGGCCCCAGCTCCCACCGCACCTCGCTGCTTGGCAGGCCGCTGTGGATGCCCGTGAGTCACTTGGACGCTCAGGAAACCCAGGTCCAGCGCGAATCACGGTCTCAGAGTCACCGCGCCCAGAAGGACGCAGAACAAACCCGCGGCCGCAGTCAGTGCTGGCACAGGGGGGCATTTGGTAAAAGAGGCAAGCAGGGCGCGGGCGGCTCAATGGTAGAGCGTGTGCCTAGCATGCACTAGCTCTGGATTCTACCCAGCATCACACACACACACACACACACACACACACACACACACACACACACATGCACACAGGCACACACACTCACAAATGCTAACTGAATGGGATTTGGAAGGTACCCAATAGTCCTGCAAAGAGATCATTTTTATCTATTTTATTTTTATTTTTGCAGTACAGGGAATGGAACCCAGGGCCTTTATACTGAGTTACATTCACAGCCCTTTTCCAAAATATATATATCACCTTTGAGATAGGGGCTTACCCAGGCTGAGCTCAAACTTGAGATTCTCCTGCCTCAGCCTCCCAGAGTGCTGGACACCAATATGTACCACCATGCCCAGCTACAGAGATAATTTTTAAAGCTCCACGGGAAAGCCAGGCGTGGTGGTGCTCGCCTGAATCCCAGCACTTAGGAGGCTGAGACAGGAGGATCGTTGCGAGTTCAAGGCCAGCCTGGGTTACAAAGTGAGCTCAAGGCCAGCCTGAACTGCATAGCAAGACCCTGTCTCAAAAAGACAAAAAAAAAAAAAAAAAAAAAAAAAAAAAAAAGCTCCATGGGAGAACAGACACGCAGAGGAGTAACTTGCCCACGCCACTCAGTAAGGTACACAGCCGAAGCGCAAGGCCCGGTCCATGGCTCCAGGCGGGGGCTTCGTGCTCTCCGGGTCAGTGGCTGCCCTTGCTGTGACCTTCACCCCCCCATTACTTCTGGTTCAAAGGTCAAGGCCCTGGCGCCGGGGAGCCCAATCTCTGCCCCCAGAGCCTCTTCCCTTGGCCTTGTGCCTTCTGCTTCCCACCCCACTTGCCCTGCAAGGGCCGCAGCGCTGGCAGCAGGGCCGGGAGGGGCCCAGGAGCCCCCCAACCCCAACTGCCCGCACGGCAGGCTTCTGGAAAGGCTGGAAACAGGCCGGAAGCTGCGCTGATCGCTGAGGGCGCTGTCTGCGCATGCTCCGTGAGTCACTTCTTCGGGTCGAGGCACTCAATGTAAATCACTTCTCGGGAAACCACTTAACAAGGCAGCAGCGGGGGTCACCGCCCCACATGGGCTGTTCGTTGAAGACCCGTGGGGGAGAGCAGAACCAGGAGGGGCTGGTGGCCGGCATGGTGGGTGGCAGGCGTGACGGGCCGCTCCTGCCAGTCCGGAGGGCGTCAAGGAAGCACTTAGACTCAGGCCTGAGATTCTCACTGGGCCAAGAAGCCGCAGGTGGGGACCCGACCTTGGCCCTGTCACATCCCACACAGGACTCCTTCCTGGTCCTGTGCTACAAAGACTGTGCGTGCCACAGGGCCTTGGTACTTGCTGGTCCCACTGCCTGAAACCCTGAAGCAGGCTGCTTCTCCAACAAAACGTCCACGGTGACGGGCATCGGCATCCCCTCAGTCATGGGGTGGACAGTGACCTATGCCAAAACTGGGAGACCCAGTGCTCTAAACAGGTCATGTTTCTTGTGTGTCAGTGATACCTCGATAGGCCGGGTATGGCGCCACACACCTGTAGCCCCAGCACTTGGGAGGCTGAGGCAGGAGGATCACCTCCAGCTCCATCCTGGGGAGAAGACTAGGCACTCAGGCAATTACAATTTCAGATGAAGGAGGGTCCCCTGCAGGAGACCAATGGGGTGACAGGGCCCAAAGTGTAACATCAGCAGCATAGTTAGGAAGGGCCAAGATCTGAAGGATAAGAAAGGCAGCGTTTGTAAAATGTGTTCTCACACAGCCAGTCCTTGTGGTACACACACCTACAGTCCCAGCACTCTAGAAGGCCAAGGCAGAGGATCGCAAGTTGGAGTCTAGCCTGGGCAATTTAACAACTTAGTGAGACCCTGGCTCAAAAAATTTATAAAGGGCTGCCGGGTGCAGTGGCATATGCCTGTAATCCCAGCACTAGGGAGGCTGAAGCAGGAGGATCCTTGTGAGTTCGAGGCCAGCCTGGGCTACAAAGTGAGCTCAAGGCCAGCCTGAGCTGCATAGCGAGATCCTGTCTCAAAAAGACAAAAAAAAAATAAAAAATTTACAAATGGCTGGAGAAGTAGCTCAGGGCAAAGGCCCTGGGTTCAATCTTTGGTATCATACACACACACAAAATTGTTCTTCTGCAGCTTTATCGAGGTTTTTTTTAGTTTTTTTCCGGTACCAGGAATTGAACTCACAACCTTGCGCTTGCCAGGCAGGCGCTGTGCCGCTGAGCTACATCCCCAGCCCCATGAGGTATTTTTTTTAAGACAGGGTCTCGCTACGAAGTCCAGGATGGAGCTCGCGGGAGCAGGAACTGCATCTGCCCCGCCCACTGTCCCTGCGGGAACCAGCTTCGCTGGGTATGGCTTGGGTGGCTGAATGACCAAGGACAAGGGTCCTAGGAGGGGTGGCGGGCGGCAGGCCGGGGCTCCCTGGAGGGCACTGCGGGGAGGTGGGGGCACTGCTGGGAAACGAAACTCAACCAAGCCATGCAGCACCCGGTCGAAGCCACCATCTGCGCCATCGCCAATGTCACCGGCGTGGGAAGGACCCTGCCACCGTGTGCGGAGGTCATTCAGAAAATTCCTGCGGGACTTCCCGGCTCGGCCCCTCTGCTTGGCGGGTGTGGGTCCTCCCCGCCCGGAACCACTGTCCCTCCAGGCAGGTGACAGGAGGCCTGGACGCCACTGTGGCCTCAGGTTCTGGGGCATGACATCCTGGAGATCTGGGGAAACTGAGGCACAGATGCCACTCAGGCCTCAGCTACATTTGCAGCTCATGAGGTGACCCCTGGCGAAGGGAGGAAGGTCTGGGTTGAAAAAAATCTCACTGTCGTCATCCGTCACCCGCAGCGAAGTCGTTATGACTTAACCAGTTTCTGGATTACATGAGAAGTGGCCCTGAGTTCGAGGGTCAGAAAGCGGAGGCAAAGCGGGGCCCTGGCCAGGTCCCTCCTGCAGGAGCTGCCGTCCTCTCACTACAGCTCCCCAAGAGCCTGCAGTAGCAAAAACAGGCAGGGTCGGTTTCTTCACTTGTCCAAGAGTGTGCCACGTGGATGTTTGAGTTCACTCAGTCATTCAACAAGCACGACAGGCGCGTGGGGACCAGTGGACGAGGGTGAGGGAGCCTCAAGTGAACAAGCAGCCGAGTCCTGGCCTTGGCAGCTTTCTGTCCACTGGCAGAGACAGGCAATGAAGACATTTAAGGAAGAGAGGAGAGACCATTAAAAGGGGTGCCAGAGCCGGCGTGGTGGCGCACACCTGTAATCCCAGCACTCGGGAGGCTGAGGCAGGAGGATCGTTGTGAGTTCAAGGCCAGCCTGGGCTACCAAGTGAGCTCAAGGCCAGCCTGAACTGCATGGTGAGACCCTGTCTCAAAAAGGAAAAAGGTGGGCAGAGAAAAAGAGGAAAGGAAAGTGGGGTACACTGGGGAGTGTAACCTTAATAAAATGGCCTGAAAGCTGGGCATGTCTCACAGCTGTAGCATCGACATACACAGTGATTTTACGAACAAAATGGTCAGGAGCGGCCTCACTGAGCAAGGAATTTTTTTTTTTTTTT